CAAATTATCGCTATCTACAATTTTTAAATATAGAACACCCATTAATTGTCTTTCTTTCATAAGGTAATTCAAATTCCATATAAAGGGAAATTGTAGAGAAATATTTTTAAACTGTCTGCAGATATCAAGGACGCTAGTATATAATAATTTGACAGTAAAGAACATTTAATTCAATACTGTAAAATACGTGCAAAGTGCAAGTATAGATTCCCTGCGGCATATCTTTCAATCAATGCAAATATCGATTGTGCGTATTTAAGGTGATTCCTTTATTAGTGGGCGTAGTTAAAATAATCTTATCTGCCACACCCTGAACCTTATGGTTTGCTATGATGCCTGCTATAATCCCTTGGTAAACTCTTACAGGCTCGTTGGTAGTTCTGCCAGTTCTCAGCTACTATCTTAGAGTACACGATAGTCTCATCATATTCGTGGGAGGGGCTTCTGCCATGTTCTACCTCATGCTCATCGGCACGGCGCCCCAGCCCTGGGTCCTCTATCTCGGTACGTAGCGCGTGTGCCGTAGGGACTCATTTTATGATAGATATTTATGATAGATTGGACTCCTTTGTTTTAGTTCGACTCACCACATGCGTCCGTGGTCCAATAAAGACACTTTTATCTAATTATAGCATCCGGAACTTCTGTGTTCATGTTGATGGTGACGTCAGCAGCCAGAGGAAAGATCTCAAAGTTGGTGAACGACGACGAGCTAGGAATTGTCTTCGGGATGGTGTGCGTGGTCAACGCCCTCATGCCGGTGCTCGCCACGCCGGTGTACAGCCTCGTGTACAACGCTACCGTGGGCGTGTTCCCTGGCACGGTGTTCGTCCTCCTGGCAGCGCTTTGTGCCGTTATCTGTTGCTTGGCCGTGTAGGTATCTGTGCCACTGACACGCCATCTTTATACCACTAGGTCATATCAATTTAAGGAGGATAGAATGTTAACATAATCAGCAATGCTAAGATATATGGAAAGTTATCCTGGTAGTAAATTGTGTCATTACTTGATGTTTTGATCGTCTAAGAGTGCAGGTATCTATGCCACTGGTGCAGGCAATGTTCACGCCACCAATTTATTTTCATTAAAGGATGATGAAAATCTTCATTGAATCAGTGATGCTACTGGATGTTGTATATGATCTATGATAGGAATATCTGCACGTTTAATTGCATCTACAACCTCTGCCTTACAGGTGGCTGTACACACGATTCGATCAACAAACTGCAGCGACAAGTGAGGTTTTGGACACGCAACCAGGATGATTGCGTGAGAATATGGTAGGCAGAGGCTATGTCGTCGGTGTTTCCATAAATCAGCGAATGTCTGATTTTTTTAGATAGCTTCTCTTGCTTTTTTTTACAGTATGCCGATATTTTTGTCATTTTACAGAATTCTTATAATATTTTGCGTCATTTTGCAGTATTCTGATATTTTGTGTCATTTTGTAGTATTCTGATATTTTGTGTCATTTTGTAGTATTTTGATAATATTTTGTGTTACCAATGTCTCGATGTGAAAGAGGCGTTCTACACCAAACTCACATCTGTGGTAGACAAATGCCCCCGGTGAGACATTCGCATAGTACTGGGCGACTTCAATGTGGTATCCAGTTGTGATCGAGCTGGCTACGAGATGTTTGTCGGTCCCCATGGCTCGGGAGCGAGAATAGCCCTCTTCTTTGTGACTTTGCTAGGTCTCAGAGAATGAGGATTTCTGGCTCCTGGTATCAGCGCTCCAATCCGCATCGCTGGACTTGGTATAGTGATACGGGTGCTGTGGCCAAGGAGATCGACCACATCCATGTTAGCACTCGCTGGAGGAGTTTACAGGAGTGCCGAGTTCTGTGGCACTGATCATAGATTTGTTGTAGCAACCCTGCAGGTTCACTTTAAGCCCCCCCGCTTCTCCAGTGTGGCCACTCTAGGGTGTTTCACCTGGACCGGCTGGGGGATGAGGAGTGTGCGCGTAGGTTCACTGTAGCAATCACTGATTAATTAACAGTGCTCAAAAACCTGACAGACCCTAGAGCCCTATGGAAATCCATTGATGAACGTCCGGGGACTAGGTAGAATTTCATCTCGCTGGAGACATCGGAGGCCACAGATGCGTGTCGCATGGCTTGTCTGAATGGCAATCAAAATTTGCGCCGTTCCTTGGTACGCAGGTCTAGGACTCTGCTCAGAAGAGATAAGGAACAGTTCATCAGGAATCTTGCCGCGGAGGTAGGACATTTCTTTGTAAATGACCTTCGTCCTGTCTACCAAGCCCTGAGAAAACTGAACTCCAATCCCTCCCCACGGATGTCTGCAGTCCGCTCAGTGGATGGATGGATCATCTCAAATAATGTTGGGGTTTGTGAACGTTGGGCTGAGTATTTTGAGCAATAGTATCAAGTAGACCCCCTAGCATTTAGTCTAGATGCTAGGGATGTCGAAATTCCTGTGCCTGACCCACCCATCAGTGAGGATCCCCCCACTCTAAATGAGTTTAGGGAGGCGATCTCTAAGCTGAAGGGTGGGGAAGCTGCAGGTATATGCGATATCCCTGCTGGACTGCTAAAGGCTGGGGGTAAGCCTATGGCCCAGGGCTTGCATGCTGTCCTGGCTGCCATCTGGCAGTCCGGTTCCATTCCCCCTGACCTATTGAGGGGCGTGGGCATCCCCTTTCTGGAAAGGGAAAGGGGATCGCTGGGACTGTAGTATCTACCGTGGCAACACATTGCTCAGTATACCAGGCAAGGTTTTTTGCCCACATTCTTCTGAAACGGGTCCGCAACCACCTGCTAAGGCACCAAAGATTGGAGCAATCTGGATTCACTCCTGGCATGTCCACAATAGACCGTATCCTAGCGCTTCAAGTCATTGTAGAACGTCGTCGTGAGTTCGGTCGTGGGTTGCTTGCAGCCTACATCGACCTCTAGAAGGCATTTGATTCGGTGCATCGCGAATCGTTGTGGGAGATCCTGAGACACAGGAATTCCAACATGTATTATTGGATTAATAGCAAATCTATATACTGGTACTGAACGTGCTGTAAAGTGTGGTAGAGGCCTGTCGAGCTTCTTCCCTGTTAACTCAGGAGTGAGGCAAGGCTGTGTCCTTGCGCCAATACTTTTCAATATTTGCATGGACTGGATAATTGGCAGAGCTACTTCCCAAAGTCAGTGTGGAGCAACACTGGGCAATATCAAGATCACGGACCTTGACTTTGCTGACGATGTTGCAATTCTATCTGATTTTATGGGATCTCTGATAGCGGCTCTTGATGCATTTAGCAATGAGGCAAAGCCTCTGGGCTTGCAGGTCTCCTGGACTAAGACCAAGATTCAGAATTTTGGGGGCCTGCTAGGAGAACCCGTTCAGTTGATACGTGCTTGCAGCGAGAACGTTGAAGCCACGGAGAACTTTACATACCTTGGCAGTGCAGTTCATGTTTCTGGGTTGTAAGACCAGGAAGTCAGTAGACGGATTGGTCTGGCAGCAGGAGCCGTGAACTCAGTCAACAAGAGTATTTGAAGGTGTCAGTACCTATGTAGGAGGACTAAGTTGTGACTTAAAGGCCTTCATACTGCCAGTTTTGCTTTATGGAACAAGTAACAAGTCCCTACGCCGGATCATGGGGTACATTTGGCAGGACCATGTGTCCAACCGATGACTCCATCTGGACTGGCATGGGACCTGTTAACTGCACAATCCAGGACCGCCAACTCAGGCTATACGGGCACATAGCTCGTTTCCCTGTGGATAACCCTGCCCATCAGTTTGTCTCTGTACGAGACAATTCTGCGTGGAGGAGGCCTATGGGAAGACCTAAGAAGTCGTGGCTTGGGCAGCTCGACCAGACCTGTCGTGAAGATGGGCGAGGGCCTGCCTGGCGACTCGCCATGGGACCCCCTTGGCTGGAAGCGAAGGGTGTATGCAGCTGTGCGCCCCTGTCGGCGTCGGCCCCTTTGATGATGATGATGAATGTTTAGGTGGCATTATTTCCATAAATGCCAAATTTGCACATTCGACGGTTTGTGAAAACAACGATGAATTGTGAATGTTTTTTTTTAATGTCTGATAATATTCCTGTGCATGCCTAGGAATGTGAATGCTTGTATTATTTTGTAATTATGTGCAAATATATTGTCTCCTCTTCGATTATGTAAGTTTATTCCAACTTTTTTTAAGAAAATGAAATGTGCATTACTACTATGTCCAAAGATCCCACCACAAAATATATAGAAAAGGAAAGAAATTCCAAATATCTAATATTTTTGTTATTTATTGGTCTGTAACCCCAATTCTAAAACACACACACACACATACGCAGAGACACACACATCCTCACACAAACACATTCACACACATACGTATATATATATATATTATATATATATATATATATATATATATATATATATATACTACATCCAGGAGGCCTGGCAGCGGCATGACCTGTGTAAGTGGCTACACCTATTACTGGTCGGGCCGCAGCGATGGCCACCATCTCCAGGGAGTAGCCATTGCCGTCTCCAGCAGACTCCAGCCCTCGGTAGTAGAGGTTACTCCTGTTGATGAGCGTATAATGGTATTGAGATTGAAGCTTTCTTTTGGCTTCATGTCTCTTATTGCTGTGTACGCTCCTACCGATGTTTGTAAACTTGACGTGAAAGAGATGTTCTACGCCAAACTTACATCTGTGGCAGACAGATGTCCCCCGAGATATTCGCATTGTTCTGGGCGACTTCAATGCGGTATCTGGCTGTGATCGAGCTGGCTATGAGATGTCTGTCGGTCCCCATGGTTCAGGAGCTGATGCCGGTAGCGAGAATAGCCTCCTTTTCCGGGACTTTGCTAGGTCCCAGAAATTGAGGATTTCTGGTTCCTGGTACCAGCGCCCAGACCCACATCGCTGGACATGGTACAGTGATGCGGGTAACGCAGCCAAGGAGATCGACCACATACTTGTTAGCACTCGTTGGAGGATCCTTCAGAATTGCAGGGTGTACAGGA